AAGTTATAGATATCCTTTCATCCACAAAGCCGAAGTCAATGAACAAATTCAGAAAATGCTTCATCAGAATATTATTAGGCCAAGCAATTCACCGTGGTCATCACCGATATGGGTAGTTCCCAAGAAGGCTGATGCCTCCGGCAAAAAGAAGTGGCGTATCGTGGTCGATTATCGTAAGGTAAACGATAAAACAATCGATGATCGATACCCAATTCCCAATATCACCGATGTACTTGATAAACTTGGCAGATGCAACTATTTTACCACCTTAGATTTGGCTAGTGGCTTCCACCAAATCGAAATGCACCCAGACGACATTCAAAAGACCGCTTTTAATGTGGAAAATGGGCATTACGAATATCTTCGCATGCCTTTCGGTCTCAAAAATGCTCCAGCCACCTTTCAGAGGGTTATGGACAACATTTTGAGAGGGTTGCAGAATGAGATCTGTCTTGTCTATCTAGATGACATTGTAATTTTCTCAACTTCGCTTCAAGAACATATGGTGAACTTGAAAAAAGTATTCCAACGCCTGAGAGAAACAAATTTTAAGATCCAACTAGATAAATGCGAGTTCTTGAAAAAAGAAACAGCATATCTAGGCCATATCATAACTACAGACGGAATAAAACCAAACCCAGACAAAATTCGAGCTGTACAACAATTTCCAATTCCGAAGACTACGAAAGAAATAAAATCTTTTCTTGGTCTTCTAGGTTATTACAGAAAATTCATTCCCGATTTCGCGAAAATAACCAAACCAATGACGTCATGTTTAAAAAAGGGCTCCAAAATTGACACTCAAGACCCAAAATATGTTCAATGTTTTGAAACGTGCAAAGAACTTTTAATGAATGACCCAATACTTCAATTCCCCGATTTTACACAGACTTTTCACTTGACCACCGATGCAAGTCAATTCGCTATCGGAGCAGTCCTGTCTCAAGGACCAATCGGTCAGGACAAGCCTATTGCCTATGCCTCTAGAACATTGGTTCAAGCAGAGCAAAACTATAGCACCATTGAGAGAGAGCTCCTCGCGATTGTATGGGCCACAAAATATTTCCGTCCGTACCTGTATGGACGAAAATTTAACATATTCTGCGATCACAAACCACTTCATTGGCTTTTTTCCATAAAAGACCCGAATGCCAGACTAACACGCTGGAGACTGAAACTTGACGAATATGACTACAAAATACTATACAAAAAAGGATCGCTCAATACCAACGCCGACGCTCTATCTAGAGTAAAAATCAACGAAATCCACACAAATGACATTTTCGAATACATGAATGATTTCAATAACACTTTTTGCAGAAACGATACCCCACCAAACACCTCCGAAATTAACAACCAAAACGATAATGAATCAGTCGCAGGCAATATTGACGAGACACCGAATATAAATGACGTGAACCCTACAAATGACGAGTCAACTAATGTCAATGACCCAAACCCGACAAATGAAGACAATATTGACAACGACAACGAAACAGTTCATACGAGTTCTGAAAATCCGATTCTCGAAATACCAATATCTGAAACTCCAATCAATCATTTTCAAAATCAGATATTTCTCAAAATTGTTTTACACTCTCCAAATGTTCCGAAAATCACCAGGCTATTCGAAAACAAAACAAGAACAACTATTCAGATACCAAAAGATAACTTCGAAAATGAAATAATTAACACATTCAAAGAATTCACGACAGTCAAGAAAACATTTGCTATCAATATCGACAACGAAGAATTTATCCCGAGACTTTGTCAAGTTTTGAAAGATACATTCAAACATTCTGCATTCAAGTTATTACTTTGTAAAGTGGTGTTAGAGGACGTCAAATCAGCTGGTCAACGTGACGAAATAGTACAACTATGTCATGAAGGGAAAACGAATCACCGTGGCATACTCGAAACCGAAGCACAAATAAAACGACATTATTATTGGCCAAATATTCGTGGTACCATCACAAAATACATCAACAACTGTCAAATTTGTCAAAGAATGAAATACGACAGGCAACCTCCAAGACAAGCATTCGAAGTCACACCTACACCTAGCAAACCGTTTGAAATTATTCACGCGGATACATTCACATTCAAAAATCAAAAATTTCTAACAATAATCGATAAATTCTCGAAGTACGCTCAAGCATACCCTCTAACAGGAACAACGGCCGTCCATGTAATCAAAGCTTTTCTATTATTTATGTCCCATCACGGCTCACCAAAATTACTAGTGCTTGATAATGGAACTGAACTGAAAAATAATATCATGAACGACTTTTCGTCTTTACACAAAATCAAAATTCATTATATTACCCCTTTGAATCCAAATTCGAATAGTCCTATTGAACGATTTCATTCAACATTGATCGAACACCTAAGAATCATCAGAGAAACACGAAAAGAACTGAATATCCTTGATCAAATGCCATACGCCATCCTTGGATACAATCACACGATTCATTCAACCACAAAACAACGTCCGATCGACATTATTAATGGGCATATAGATTCTAATGCTCCTTTCGATATTGATCTAAATCAAAAATTGTACACCAATTATGTCAGTCAACACAAGCAATGCACTCAAGAATTATACAAACACCTACACGACCAAATGTCCCAACAAAAAGAAACCACCATTAGAAAAATAAATGAAACTAGACATGACCCCCTCGTATATGAACCTGGAACTTTAGCATACCATAAAACTCGCGCTCGCGATAAATCGAGTCCCCGTTTCAAAGCACACATCGTCGCCACTGATAATCAAAATACCATTCAAACTAACACGAAAAAATATCACAAAAATAACCTGAAGAGACCACTTGCTAACCAACGAACTGTACAATTGCAGGATACTAGTCGCCCTGACGACGAACCTCACTGCTCAAGAAATTAAGCTGACAAATTTAGCCTCCAACCCCGGTATCCTACCCTATCGACTAGGAGACGCAAAATTAAAGACAACACATCACACATTCATATACTATTTTGACTTATATCTTATTGAACAAGAGTTACTTGCAATAACTAGACAATACGAGCAAATAAAAGAAACAACCTCCAAAACCGATAATCAGTACGCCCATGCACTAATAAATATTCAAAATTCAATTGCATTTCAGCTCAATGCCGTAAAAGATAAATTCAATTCACTTCACTCCAACAAACGAATCAAAAGAGGACTAATTGACGGATTAGGCACATTATTCAAAAGTATTTCTGGCAACCTAGATGCAGAAGATGGCAAGAGATACGACGAAGCCATATCAACCCTCCAAACAAATCAAAAAAATGTTGTAACGACTCTGAATAAACAGATTTCATTAACAACCGAAATAATTGATGATTATAACAAAACTCTAGTGCTCATAAAACAAAATGAAATACATATCACAGATAAAATTAACGAACTCAACAAAGAATTCCGGGACTTCCTATTCAATTTCAACTGTTATACGATAGCAAAAACTGGCTTAGATCAAATAAACGCTATTCTCAGTATCGTAACTCAACTTCTGAATAACTTAGAAAATGCTGTTACATTTGCTAGATTAAAAACTATGCATAATAGTATATTAAAGATCGAAGATTTGGAATCAATCGTAAAGAGACTTCTAGATCACCACAAGCCTAACGAATTATTATTTGGGGACGACATTTCCAGCTCATACAAATACTATGAAATACTTGAAGTCGAATGTTACCATTCTAATGATAAGATAGTCTTCATGATTCACTTCCCGATTGTCTATCCTGAAGTATTTTCCTATTACCACCTATATTCAATTCCTACAAGAAACAATTCGATTATCATTCCTCCCAAACCTTTCCTGGCTATGGAAGAAACTTTCTATCAGTACGAAGACAGTGAGTGTAGAAACACCAACCCTCTGTATTTCTGCACCAACGAGAACCCGATCTTGCAATCTCGAGAAGAAGACTGCACACACCAGATACTGCAGTTGAAAAGCAAATATCCGTCAAGCTGCGAAGCCATACCAGTAGTAATTCAACACGAAATTATCGAAGAAATCAACCCTGCCCACTACATCGTGATCTTCCCAGAAGAAACCAAAGTTAAAATTGATTGTCATAAAATCGATTTTGCAGTCCTCAAGGGTACCTACCTTTTGGAAATACCAACTGCATGTAGTTTCGAAACCCCACACAATGTCTTCACAAACGAAGAAACCATCATCACCGGCCAACCCTTGCTACTACCCGAAGTCAAGATACCGACTATCACAGGTAACCACGTACATGAACTTGTGATAAACGACATACCCCTGGACCAAGTACAAAGACTGCAACAGGATCAGCACAGAATGAAACATGTCTCGCTGAAAACAATGCCAAGTAACACAGCCCATTATTGGTCAATACCAATTTATATTGTATTGATCGTATTTTTCGCTATTGGAATAGTTAGTCTATACAAGAAGTCCAGACGTTCCAATCCAGATGAATCCCCAGCACCTGAGGCAGCACCTAGGTCTCATCCAACCCTATTCCTGAGGGCTGAAGACGACGAGTAACCGGATCCACCCCCTGTATGGATCTTTCTAAGGAGGGAGGAGTTACATCACCAATTCCACGGTATTCCTTAAGAAATAGGAATCTCGACAGAAGACCAGGAGAAGCCGAGTCAGCGTTCTCATGATTTCTATGCTTTCTTGCAATTTTGCATTTTCACATGTTTATTAGAATTAGTTTTATATTCAGTCTTGACTTTGAATCCATGCTGTAAACATCTCTCTGCTTTGTGACAAATAGTTGAATAAAAAATATTTTTTTTATCCGAAATCCTGAACGGACTTATAAAATTCACTTCACAGATACACCAGTCTATCGTAAATAAATGAACAGAATGCCAACGAAAGCGAATTATGATTCACCTTGATTGGCTATTGGTTGGCTATTTTTGATTCACGCCAAACTGAGTTATTCAAATCTTGCAAATTCTTATAGACAGTGAAAACGTGAAAATGGTGCGAGGAAAAATATTGTGTGGAGGCAAGAGTGATTTTGAGAGAGTGCAAAAAGGTGTGGGAGAATACTTTTTTGAGATGGCTCAGAAACATCAGGAGAAGATTTTTCAGGTACGGATATGGAGGTGTAGTACGGAACACCCTGTAATTTTCTTTCCTTCTCGTTACCAGATCAAAAGGAATGGTTTCGTTTATGTTCAATATATATTAGGTAGATAGTTTTCAAATTTGAATTCAACATATCTGATGTTTTCAGGAGATTTCCTGTTTATTGATATAATTTAACGGAGACCTATATATTGGATTTGTGTATGTGATATGGCGGAATCGCAATATCATTCTTCTGAAGTTGTCAATAATTTAGTCAATGAAACAAATGAATTCATGAATCAGAAAAAAATGTGTTTTACCTCCAGTGATATACCGGGGAAAAGAGTTACGAAGATGGTTACATTGGGGCAAAGATAGCATTCATGCGTAACTTACAATCGAAATTCCAAAAATGTCCGGAGATATCCGGAAAACACTGAAATTTTGTAAAATTTCGGTTTTATTTTTTTCTGGCTTCATATTTGTAGGATTTCGAAATGATTCGCACTTTTTCATTGTCATTTTTCCTGTACTATACTCGATGGTGCTTTCAGGAAGAATCCAATCCAACGGAATGTAGGTTAGCAAATCTGAAAGTACCACCATGTTGTAGAAAATCAACGACAATGCAAAAGACGATTCCTATAATAAATAAAGCCAGAGCCAGAATGAAATAAACTCGATTTTCCAAAATTTTGTTTTTTTCCAGATATCTCCGGACATACTTGGAATTCCGAAACTTTCTAATGACATATCGTTATTTAGGTAAATGCGCACCTTTGCCCATATTCCACCATCTTTGTATATCTTCCATAGTTTCCAAGATCCCATGCAATGGTGAGGATCGAATATGAAACACCCGGTATAGGGTTTCAGAATAAGACCTGGTCGGTCTTATTCGTACAAGGACTGGTCACTTCATTTCGAAGTAATAAGTTCCTGAACAACTTATGTCCCAAAATGTATCCTTTCTGAGATACAGGGTGTCAACATTACGAAAAAAATCATTGTTCAAGAGTACCTATATCAATTTCTTCGGAACTCCTGATGAAGGAAACAATTCGAAACTCGGTATACTTTTTTATAGATTAACCAGTGTCACATGGATTTTCCATTATTGAATTCTGATCACCTGAAAGTATACAATGTTCTTGCGATATTTGCAAAACACCAAATAAATGTCTTGAGATGATATTGCTACGTGTTGAATAAAGAATATTGTATTGCTCAACTTTGTTCACATACTCATTCAACAAATTATTTCAAACAGATCGCACTTCAAGACAGGAAAAAGTTATTTATAATTCCAATGTTCTCAAAATTCAAGAATGTTCAGGAGGTTGAGATGTTGGGGCTCTCAATATCACCTCCGCATTTTTTTCCTAATATCTCAGGAACCGATTCGTTTGGGCATGTGAAATGTTATTACTTTAAGGTGAAGTAACAATAATCCTAACTGATCTCATATACACCAATTTGACATTTCATTTGTCTAAGAAGAAATATGAATGAAAATGTGGTAACATACGATCCTAACTACGCCACTGGAGATCAAATTTCAAGATGGAAACCTCATACTATATTGATTAATCTGGAATAGTATGCCAAGTTTCAATTGCTCTCCTCCAGGGGTTCCGAAGATATTGATATAAATCTTAATTATTTCCGTGCTTCTGATCGACACCCCTGTATCTCAGATAGAATGCATTTTAGGGCATACGTTGATAGGTACTTTTTTATTCAAAATCAGGTAAGGAATCCGTATACGAAGTTTGTCGGTCTCATTCTGACTCACCCTTATATGGCAGTATTAATTCCATTTTGAGCTGTGATCAATAGCCAGGAATTATTCAGGGTTTCGTAATGATTATCGGAATCCTGGATCATGAATCTTTGTAGCTGAGTTAAAACTGATCGTATGTGTCGATTATCCAAAAATCTATGGATGATCCAATCTCGAAAACTCACGATAGGTTCACTGTGACAGGTAGTGATATTTCGATATTCTGGTCAGAAAGCTGGTCAGTCATGAACTGATCAGCCCTCGAAGGAATGGCGCTTAATTTCGGGACATCCTGTATAATTTACTCATTCGCATTGAAGAAATGATAATATTTCCGAATACTCTAATGATTCTTGACGTTTCACAGATAGATGGAAGAACCAAAGAAGAAGAAACCTACTCTTCAGTGCACCAACGATCAATTCGGCTAGCCTCACACCTCCAAAAACTAGGAGTTACTCCGGATGACATCGTAGTAACCTGCCTGAAAATGACCATGGACACCGTGATACCACACATAGCAACTACCTATCTCGGAGCAAAATTCGCAGCTCTCGACATCATTCAAACAGAAAAAGATTGGACACATTGTATTGGTCTAGTCAAGCCAAAACTTGTGTTCGTAGATGAAGATCATCTGAGGAAAATTGAGAAATGTCTGAAGAGCCTCGGTATTGAACCTATCATCATAGTTGACGGAAAGTCCGATTGTCACACGGTTTTCGCCGATTTGATGAAACCCAGCGTAGAAGATGTTACTTTTAGTCCACAAATAGTTGAAGAATGCCATGCAACTGCCGCAATTTTTTTCAGTAGTGGTACTACTGGATTGCCTAAAGCAATGTGTTTATCACATTTCAGTTTCATTAACAAGACTATATCATATTTGTAAGTATTGGATACATCGATAATCTTTGTCTAAAAATTACCCATTGAAAGATGAAACCATATACCGAAGTTGCATGCATTATATTCAATTTTCCTTGAGATATTGCGAAACAACTATTTTTATTCCTCAACTTTAACGCCTTGTATCTCGAGAACTGAACACTTGAAGACCACATGTCCCTATCTCAGTGATTATGAAATCACGAGGGCTATCACCTGTCTAGCGTTGTCGGTCGAATTTCGCTACACCCTGAATATTGTAGTATTTCTTGGAATGACATTCATTCATTATAAATAAAAGCAGAAACTAAATCATATCTGATTTAATATAATCCATGAGGCAGTAGTAAACTATTGAACTAATAACTGAATAATTATATTTCTAACAAGTCATTTGATATTTCTTATTTGCAGTACAATGGATATTTGCAATCCCAAGGTGATTTTAGCCTATTCTTCATTTTACTGGATAACTGGTATGGAAATTCTTACCAGAATGTTCTTCTCTGGAGGATGTAGAATAATAGCCCCTTCATTCCATCCAGAAGAAGCAATCAGGATGATAGAAGAATTCAAGGTGAATAATCGGTATATCATTGATGGAAGTAAGATATGGTGTAATCACTGATGCGCTTTTGTTTCAGAAAATTTTACTCGACCTCTCGAGAACAATGAGAGCAATGGTTCCGTCGATCTTCTAATAGATGGCGACATTGCACAATTATGATATCTGTCGCAGATTTCCGCGTACCTAAAATGCCATTTGCCATTTTATTTTTATATATATTTAGATAACCTACCAACATTTCAACTGGGGCAAACGAAGACTCTGATATAATATAGCTCAGTTCTCTGAGGATCACATGAAAAGTAGTATGAAAGTATGGATGGACATTGGTTTTACAAAAAAACGGATTGGCTCAATTGACTAATAATCAAGCTATTAAAATCTCGAAATATAACGGTTTCCAAAGAAAACGAAACAGATGAAAAGAAAAAGAAAGGGTGAAAAATATTCGCTTCTTTCACATAACATGAACATTTTCTGTTTGTATTTCAGGTTACCTACTGTATTATCAATCCAGCCTGCCTGAAATCGATCATAGATCTAGACAATGCCACAAAATATGACACATCATCATTACACCACTTGTCAACAGGTGGCAGTCCTGTGAAACCAAACGATCTGTTAGATATGAGAAAACTGTTCAAGCATTCGCATGTTACCATCGGATATGGGTGTTCAGAAACCGCTGGTATCCTCACTTGTTTCGATTTCACGAGAGACAGGGATGTCTTGGACAACGTGAAATCGGTAGGAAGATGTATGAAGGAAGTGGAAATAAAAGTAAGTAAAAGTAAGAAAACACTACATAACATGTTATACTGAGTGGTACTTTACAGTGAGCAAGTTATTGGCGCTTGAAACAAAACAATTCAATATCACTCCCGGCTTTATATCTACAGGGTGTATCTAAATAACATCAGGAACTGAAGTTCATACAAACATGTGTCCTATCTTGCTTCTTCGAAACACAGGGTATTAATATTTCCATGAAAAATCTTCTTTCTATCAATTTCTCAATTGTCTTTTCACCAATTTCAATAAAACGTATGGTTTTGTTGATAGTAATATGGAGCTTCTTCTAGTGCAATTAGATTTGAAATTATATTCCCAGTGGCGTCACAGTGGTTAAATTTATCGATTTTCATGGTGAATGTCATTGTACGCCACCGGTTTCCATATTTTCCATATTTTTATTAGATTGAACAACAATTGAAATAACAACTTTTTCATCCTTTGTGTGATTTTTACATCAAGTTTAGTTTTTGGAGAAACAACAAAAATTCGATTCGAACATATTGATAAGTTATATTTTTATATCATATTACATCATATTATTTATCAGATTTGAGAGACTGTCAATTCTCAATTTCAAAGGATTTTTATTCTTCATACTCTCTTTTTGGATATTCAACAGATATAATTCAATGTTCGACGTGGCAAATATCCAGGAAAGTAGTTGTTTCCTGTTGAATATTCAGAATAATGTTATGTGTGAATACATATTTTTATCTGAAGGAGAATGCAAATTCTCAACTTCAGATGATTTCGTTTTCAAATACGTATCGTGTGTGCTCAATAGATAGTTCAATGTTCGTCGTGGCATATAGCCAGTAAAGTAGTTGTTTTCTGTTGAATAAACCGAGAGAGAATTGATATTTTTATCACATAGAGAATGCGAATTCTCAATGTATTCCTCCATATATACAGGGTGTTCCAAAATTTCTGGAACACAGCGCTATCACGTGTAGAGGAGGTCAAAATAAGTTGATTCGACCCAATTTATTTATGTGCCAAAATGTACTGTTTGTCCTTGAGAAGGGTTCACATAAAAAACACATTCTTGTACGCTGTCCAGAAATAAATCGAATTTGATGAAATTTGACAATGGTGTATTTTAGAAGATTACTTTCCTTTTGGTGAACGAAGAACCCTAAAAGAAATTGTAGAAGGGTTAAAATCACCCTCACCCCCTATTTTTTTTTTCAGAACTTGTTTAGGGGTCATAATACGGTTTGAACTTGAAGAATAATCTATATTACCTCCATTTCATTACTCCTGTAAAAATTACGTATACCGCATAGTTTACAAGAAAAAAAAGTTCTCTTCAATAATGCTACTATTTTGACCTTCTTTACACATGGTAGCTCTGTGTTCCAGCAATTTTGGGACACCCTGTATATCCAGTTTTTCATTTTTATAAATCATTTGAGAATATTCCCTACCAATTCGTCTAGGTGGTTTGACAACTGAACCCTTATAATCAATCTATACTAGATATATCAAAACTTTAGTAATGCTGAACAATACTGTATATACACGGTGCATGGCATTGCTCCCCCAATGGAAATGAAAATCTGAAATGATGAAAGCTATGGAAAAGGAATGTTCTCAGATATAATTATGAACATAAAATAATGGATATATATAAAGAAATACATTGAGAATTCGCATTCTCTATGTGATGAAACTATCAACTCTTTTTCGGTTTATTCAATAGAAAACAATTACTTTCTTGGCTATATGCCACGACGAACATTGAATTACATCTATTGAACATACACGATAAGAATTTGAAAACAAAATCTTCTGAAGTAGAGAATTTGCATTCTCCTTCATATAAAAAAAGGCACATAATATCATTCTGAATATTCAACAGAAAACAACTACTTTCCTGGCTATTTGCCACGTTGAACAATGAATAATATCTGTTGAACATCCGAAAAAAGAGCATGAGAAATGAAAATCCTCTGAAATTGAGAATTGACATCATCTCTCAAATCGGATAAAATCATATGATGTATCATGATATAAAAATATAACTTACCAATATGTTCAGTATTGAAAATTGAAATGTATATGAGGAGTATACTTCATAAACTCTGATCTTGATGAGCTTGGAACTTCCAAAAAAATCATTCGGATCAGTGATATGAGAATTGTACCTTACACAAACAGGTTACATGACTTCACTCGAATAAATTCATTTCGGATATCAAATCCTCATCAGTAACCTGAAGTCCAGTTATTCTTTCAGCCATTCTTCATGATATACTCAATATTCACGTCCTGTATGATGAATATCAATTCATCCTACATCCAAAAATGATAAAAACTGTTGATATTTCAGTGATAGTAGTGGAAAAAATATTATATATATACCTCGGGTGAGAATGCTATTCTTACTCTGGGTGTGTAATGTTCTATATGTTCGTAACTTCTCCTCCTTATGGAGAAAAATATAGGAAGGAAAAGTGCAGTATAATTTGGATAGAGGTAGACGGAAACAACATTTCAGGTCGTGGATGATCTAACTAGACAACCCCTCGGTCCAAACCAAGATGGCGAAATCTGGGTGAGAACCCCCTACCTCATGAACGGCTATCTTAATGACGAAACCCCTTCGAGGTTGGACGAAGAGGGGTTCTTGAAAACAGGTGACAGAGGCTACTATGATGCAGACGAGTGCTTCTATATCGTCGGCAGAAGCGACGACATCTTCAAGTATGGCGTCGTAAAAGTGGATCCGGACCGCTGGGAGTCGGTCCTTGCGGAACACCCTGCTGTGCGCGAAGTTGGGGTCTTCGGCATACCACATGGTAGTGATGGGTATGTACAGTGTGTCCAGTTTTTGATGCTCTTGCGTGATATTTCAGTTGTCTTTAGAGATAGAATCTTGCGGTTCTTGCGTTCCTGTGCCGCTTTTTTGTGAAACTCAAGATGGCCTAATCAGATTTTGCATAACAACTGTTTCCGTTTATGAGATACATGGCGCGGGATTTTGAAAATTCATACTCTTTATCAGCGAAAATGTCAAATTGAAATCAATCTTATCCCATGTGGGGCAATCGAATTTTTTTTCGGGGTATGGTTTTGGAGATACAAATAAAATTTATGAATTTTTACATGGAACATCCTGTAATTTATAAGCACATTGAATTCCTTATTTTTTCCTTTCAAAATGATATAAATGTATAGTATTCAAACATATTAGTAGCTGTATCAATCAATAGATTATAGGATTTGTGGAAACGCAGCTAATATATGGACTCAAAAGAAAACTCTCTAAACTTTTGAGAAAGCATTCGGAATATTTTTATCCCGTTCGTCAGTCTCTCCAAAATGGAATTCACAATTATTATAAAAGAAAGAAACGGAGATCACATAGCGTTTCGAAAATATCCTAGAAATACCATCTTCCGGAGCCTCCTTTCAGGGGGCCATAGCTCCTTCAGGACACATTCATCGATTCATGTTCATTTGAATTTTTCTTCCTATTTTAGGTCGTAGTAGCCGCTGTTGAAGTTTGATAGGCTGATTTCGGGACATCCTGTATAGTTCGAAAATAGAACTCCTCCTTCTGTGAAATCATCAGCACCGCCTTATTAGTATAGATATAGATATGCATGAAACATGGGCAGCTGATGTTGATTTTGTTGTAACCAAATAAATATATCTGAATCTTACCTATTTCATATCATAATAATCTAGTTTGATAGAAATTACAATTCATCGATGCAGTATCCATTCCATCTTGACTGACTGTATTTTTTATGCAGGTATCTTCCAGCAGCTTGTATAGTTCTCAAGGACAATGTTGATGCTACTGAGAAGGGAATCGAGGATTTCTTCATTGGAAAAATGACACTTGAACATAGAATTGCAGGTGGTATCAAGTTTGTTGATAGCTTACCTAGAACTCCAACTGCGAAGTTGAAAAGGTGTGAGTTGATTGAGCTTTTCAATAGAACAACCCCCAATCAGGCTGAACAGTAGATATTCAATGAGTTTCGTATTCTCATATTGTGATATTCCCATGAAATTTATACAATGTGTCCAAGACAAAGATGTCCATAGTGGGGATGTTCTTTATTTTTTTCTGACGGTATTTAAAGAGATATAAGAAAACATTGCCGCTATCTGAGTTCTACAAAACAGCGTTGAGAGATTTCGCTTACGACGTTTCGTTTCGGAGAAACCATCATCAATTGTAGCCCATGGTAGACATCCTTATCTTGAACACACTGTAAAGTCACTTTTTCAATTTTGGTCTATTAAATATTATTAAAAAAATGTGTTGATTCATTATTTTCATAAATTACTTATTTCCTGTTTTATATAGACCGATGCATTTACCCTGTACATATTTTGTAATAACGAAATATGAAATATATACATCAATTAATACAAATCTGAACTTATTTATACTTGTCGTGTATTTTGGAATAAAAGTAACAGAAATAATATCTCAGAGGAAATTGAAGAAAAATCTACTGGAAACAATCAAGAAACAGAATTTCCAGAAGGGATATGTGGTTGATCAACTATTCGAAACACGCACACGCACTGGCCACGATTATATACCGTATGGGTAGTTGGTATGCTTACCAAGGAGATCTAACTAAATTCAGACCAAATGCCGTATAGTTGACGCATCATAACACCATGTATCTTCAGTTGACTAACTTTTCCAACTTCGTTTTGATTTGTTTATTTTTTTGAGGTTAGGTTGTGGAATTCCACTTGAATTCGTTAATTAAGAATACAACATTTCAGTAGGATATGAGAGTAGCTGAAATTGAATGAAATATTATTATGAGAACTCATGAAATGACTGCCACTTGCGCACTCAAGTCAAGTCACGCAACAAACTTCGGTACCAAACCAAGCTGGTAACTTTACCAAGTATACAGTTTATACTAAACTGACCAAGAGTATTTAGTCAAGATTGACTTTATCTTAGTCAGCTTACCAAAAGACACGGTATAAACGGGGCCACTGTTTATAATTACCAAATCACCGCAATGGGGAAGACCTTTACTGGAAATAATCAGGATAATATTATTATTCGAAGTTGAACAGAACCAAATCTATAGCTTTTTGAATTCAGCATAAATTCCATTCGATATTTGAAAAAACCAGATATGGAGGTGGAACTGTGATGCATTCGTCCCTCTGATACCTTGCCAATCTGTAAAAGGCCTTGCCGACTTGTATTCATCTTACATCGCAGTGACATCTATGTGACATAGAATACGACATCGCAGGTCACAATTATTGTTACATCTCTGCGATATCTCTGCGATATAACTGTGTTTGCTGGGACTGCGGTTTACCGGGAACAGTTACCATTTTCCATTCATCTCAGTATATTTGTCATCATGAGAATGCTCACGAAATAACATAGGTATACACTATACACAATGATTAGTCAATGAGAAGAAAGGAAATTATTGACTGCAACGCAGTTTTTCTCCCTGAGAAATATTACTGCAGACGCTCATGTAGATATATTCAAACAAGATGAATTTAATACTATAACTTAAAAAAAATATATTATTAGAAACCTATATTTGTACGCTTATATTGTCAAAAAATCTATCTATTATAACCCCAATATGGACTGAATCCGAAGTTTATCGAAAACGTTTCTGTATATGAATAGATTATAGATCCAGAAAAACGAAAACAGTATATAAGGCTTTTCGAGGAGTGCCAAGATGACTGGACGAATTTTATCTGGAGGTGAAAGTAGTTTCGAAAAAATTACGAAAAGTCTAGGAGAAGTGCTTTTTGAAGGAGCAGATAGGTGTAGTGATAATACACTCCAGGTATGTTTCAAGCGGAATTATATTCAGTGGTAATACTCTGAGTACTTCAAAATATTCGAGTTATACATCGATAGCTTGTTGCATAATTATATAGTGTCAGTTTGACAGTTGAAATAATCCGACCACGAAGTGGAAAGATTACTCTGCTGAACTGAAAAGATTTGAAATTATGCAGGAACTTTGTGATGTATAACCATGAATAGTTGGAAGTTCGAGTTGTATTCGATGCGATTATTTTTTGAGTAGTTCTGAACGAATATCAACATTTTACGACGCTTTGTTTTGTATGTAATAATATGAAACTGTTAATATGGAAATAATTTCAAATTTCTGACTGGCGTAGTTACTCTATGTATATCCACGTATATTCGAAATTATACAAGGTAGCTCAACTCAATTGAACGTTCGGATTGGTTTGAAATCATACGAAGAAAATTGAAAAACACTTCTCATCAGTATAACTCGCACATGGCCTCTCAATAATTATTATAACTATCTGACCCATCCTGAGAGACTGCTTGACAGTTAAATCCTCCGAAATCCTTTTTTCTCACAGTCACAGCTAATATACAGAGTATTCTATAAGTCATGGATCAAAAGAAGTGGGGGGAAGGGGTCATTTCCGATCAAACTAACAGTATATGTTGTTATCCAATTGTTCATGGTTCAAAAGCTAGACTTTTTCTATTTCTTTGAAAAATTATTCACACTGAAACTGTCACATTTGTGATTCTTTTCTTTAACGAATTTCCCAAGAAATGATGTTATGACATCTGTTACTTCGTATCAATTACCCATGAAACATGTTGTTTTCCTCAAGTTTTTTTATTGAATGAAATATTTCAGTTGAATTCAAATGCCACTGGCAGATCCAAAACTGTTTCACTGTCAAGTGTTTTCTGAATTCATACAAAGCAAAATGTTTCCAATAATCTTATATTGAAGACAATCAATTGATATATAATAAATGTTAATGACCTAATACGTAACTGGAACCTAGAAGAAAACAAGAGCATCACTATCACTGTTTGTTCGAATATAATTTCTACATAAATAATCCCAACAATGAATTATGAATCCAGAACCCGTATAGACCGTAAGTTAATACAGATATCTGAGTGCCAAGATGACTGGAAGAATTCTAACTGGAGGAAAGAGTAGTTTTGAAAAAATCACGAAAGGCCTTGGAGAGTTCTTTTTTGAAAGATTCGATAGGCATAGTGATAAAATACTGCAGGTAAGTTCTATATCTAAACATACATTCACATGCTTAATAAAGGAGTGTCTAGAAGAGTTTATAAACGCGTTACATACTATGCTTTTTCTACAAACTCCGAAAATTACATTAACATACCTGCTATTCCTGCTAACCTACAAAATAATTCGAAAGGAATGGGAATTGAGAACATAATACATACAACTGCATGCAACTAGCGAGACACGTATAAGTAATATTGGTTGTAGATGTGTCCAGTCAATTGCTTACTAACCTTTGTTTCACGTTTATTGTGTTGTTGCTTTTCGCAAAATAAATAAATTGTTCTCAAAGATGGATGCTTCATTTCTATACTTCTTGAAAATATGCAAGTACCAGAACATTCTCTGCGATTTCACTTTCGTCTACATTCCGCATATATTTTCAATGGAGAACTCTGATACAAACGAATATTGTTTGAATACTTCTGATACAAGATTTGAAAATAACAGATGACAGTTAATACAATTGACAGGCCAGACATGTCCCAAATTACTGAAGCTGTGTTTAATGAACTGTGTTGCCATGGTAATGTATTTGAGAAATCGTGTTGCCATGGTAACGTGTTTAATATTTTGAATAAATCACAGATAGACAATACATATCTGTACGCTAAATGCCATTTTAGTTATGTGAGTAGAAAAAGAAATTAAGAGCATCAAAAAATGTTTGTGACAATTTCCCTGTAGTATCCTAGATTTAAATAGGGGGCATCGAATTTGATATTCGCTGGTTCATTTGGGATTTTCTCTCCTCGTTTCTGCAAAATAAAAACATGAATATTTTTCTAATATTCGTGTAATAGGATAAATCAGATGATTCGTCAGTGCGTTTAAAAATGTTTCTATCAGAGAGCCTGGAAGAAAAAAAAAACAATCGTTGTCAGTGACACTTTCTTTTGAAAAAGGTTTGGAGAAAGGAAATGAAGGTATATTGCGAAAGTATTGAAATTCAAGTTAACTTTTCGGGAACGAATTCGTACCCGTTTTTGACATAAAAGATGCAAACATATTTTTCTTTGAAAATTGTCTTGTTAGTGTGACACTTCTCAGAGAATGAACCAGCACAAAATAAAATCACTCTTTATACAATTCACAAATGAAATAACCAATATTTTGTATGATTTCAAAGTTCAGGCTCCGATATATTTCCGAAACAATCTGAAAAATCCACTCATGGAATAATATCTATAATAAAAATATCCTTATAATATGCAAATGCAATCACAAAAGAATTGATTGTATTGACATAATTGGTATCAAAGTAATGACCGACTTTCCTTATCATGAAACATCCTCAACAAATAAATTACTCGTTGGTAATAAACCATACAGTGCAAGACAAATACTTCTGAACTCCACACATTAACAAATCGGGAATATTCATCAATGATCTTTGAACACAATTCATGTTTACTTGTACCGGGTGAACAACTATAAGAACGGCGTCGGCCATATCTCTGCAACGAATATTGATACAATATTGAGATAGATTTAATCTAATGGTATGCATATACCTCAACAGACCAACGGAAACTGCAACATGGACAGCTTTTCGCCAACGGAAGATATTAACTATCAAATTTGGAAGAAAGATATAGATATAGACAGCCTTTCTTAGTTGTTCACCTGGTACAGAATCAATTGACTTGTCCTTTAGATGATTGAAAGACTAACAGATCCTCAAAATGTGCAGGGCGTTCTTGAAATACATCTGTAGTGAATCTTTTTTTAAATATATGGGACAATAAACTTCTCCGAAAATAATATAAACAGCTCATTTCAGTTATACAAAGTGACCCATTTAAAAGCGGGCCATATGGGACGATTTTCACGATTCTGTTATTGAAATATAGAGGGAAAAGAGGTGTATCTTGAAGCAAAGCGGCGCGTAAATTTTTTTTGAATCCATAACCTACTATAGATTACATTCAGAGACTGAAAAGTCCAGAAATTATTTCTTCACCAAAAATCCGCGTACACCACTGGAATTGGCGTCCCCTGAAATAGATTTTTAGCAGGTTTTATGAAGGAATAATCAACATTAACGAATCTACAGCGTGTTTCATTTCAGACGCCTCCCCCCCCCAACATCTGTATCTGAGCTATTAGTCGTGCGATCTTTACTAAATTGGGACCAGTATGAATAACCATCAATGTGATCAGTATTTCATTTCATTTCATTTCACATCCTCTCGGCCAGCACGCTGTAGATTCGTTAATGTTGAATATTTTTTCATGAAGTTTCGGTATAATCTTCTTCAGAAGACGCCGATGTCAGTAGTGTACGCGGATTTTGTCTGGAAATCGCTAATATGGATTCTCGATTTTTAAGCCTCTGAATGTGATTCAGTAGGCCTTAGTTTATACTTAATTATTTCCTGTTTTTTTGCGGAATCCTGAGAATGTGTTAATGTGTTTCATCTTTGTTGTCGTTGGGTCGATTCAAATACTTGAACTTGGTACCTCCACAACAAGCTCAAAGAATATTGATCCTCAATAAATTTCCATCAGTTCATTTGATAATCAAAATGTTTTCATAGATTGATGCCTTATCTGGGGAGAGAGAAACCTTTGCCAACGTGAAACGCAGGTCAATCAGACTTGCCATCAGTTTGCAAAAACTTGGGATAACTTCTGAAGATGTTATAGTGACATGCTTAAAAATGACTTTGGACACAGTAGTCCCTCACCTAGCTCTACTATATTTGGGAGCCAAATTCGCTGGTATAGACCCTATCCAGACTGAAAGAGACTGGCGACATTGCATTGGCCTAGTCGAACCTAAACTAATTTTTGTGGACGAGGAACAGGTAGACAGACTGAAAAACTGTTTGGGGGCGCTAAAAGTGAAACCAAAACTGATCGTGCTTGGCCATTCTGACTATTACCAGACCTTCGAAGATTTGGTGCTGCCCAGTCCTGAAGAAGATTCTTTTCGACCAAAAGTTATTGAAAATTGTCGAGACACAGCTCTTATATTGTTTAGTAGTGGCACAACTGGTCCACCAAAACCAATGACTATCTCTCATTTCAGTTTAGTGAATGGACCACAACGAATTTTGTTTTTACTCTCCTCAAGATACACAATGATACAGGTAGATACCAAGAGACTTTCAACTGTTTTTTTTTTTAGAGAAAGGTATGGTACCGAATTCTTCAAAGTTGAACTGCTATTTTCGACCTTCTATTGGATAACTAGCATTATGATCCTGATTAGATGTTTCTTCACTGGAGGTTGTAGAGTTTTATTTCCTGAATTTCATCCTGAAAAAACACTAATGGCTATAGAAAAATATAAGGTTCGTATTGAATAGAGCTCCAACATTCGATACACAGTTTTTTTATATCGATTGGATGATACAGTGTATCCAAAATAAGGATGTATATCATGGGGGTTAAGTTGATGTTGGTTTCTCGGAAGCGAAACGTCGTACGAAAAATCTCTCATCGTTGTTCTGTAGACCTTAAAAAGTGGCAATAAGGAAGTTATTTTCAGTTTTTTATATCTCTTTGAATATCGGCAGAAAAAAAAGACGATCCCCATGATAGACATTCCTATCTTGGACACATACATACGAAACGTCATTTGTGTAGTTGAACTTTGAGAAATTCAAATATCCAGGATACTCCTACAATATGTTCAATCAAAATTCACAGCCTTCCATAAAGATACGTTTTTAGGGCTTACATTTTTTATATCAGATTCATTTTGGAAAATGTGACAATGAATTAGTTGAACGATAGGGCCTCTATTGTTTTCAATATACATCAATGAATTGTTCAACTTACATACGAGTGGTGATATAATTAGCTTTGCGGACGACACAGCAGTATTATATGAAGATGATTCTTGGAACTCCCTGAAAGAAAGAATAGAAACTGATTTTTCCAAAATAACAGATGTTTTCAATAGTAGGTTACTTACCATTAATGAAACAAAAACACACTTTGTACCTTTCACTAGCTTTAATGAGGGATTACCAAACCTTGACAGTATAAACATAACTAACAGAAAATATTCTTTGACAATAACATCTAAAAATCATATCAAATATCTTGGAATTTATATTGACAGCCACCTCAGATGGAAGGAACAGACAATGGGCCTTGATTATATAAGTGAGAATACCTACTCAATGGTATGGGTTAATCTCTGCTTCAACCACTCCACTTCCGACTATTCATTTTGTAAACCCGAACAAACCTATAGAATTTAGAGCAATCATCGAACATCGAATACTGCATCAAAGCTTCCGCTTCTGTATAGTTGGCGTTGAGTATATAGGGTGTTCACAAATTATTGGTGCCATTGGTGGCAAGTAACAATCATTAATGAGTATGAATTACTTTTGAATGAAACTTTGATACTTTTTTGTTCATCTATTAGAGCGCACGAATGGAAATTACAACATAGTGTATGTAAATCATAAGTTGTGGTCATTAGTCGGCAGTACGCCGGGATTATGAACAAAATACTCGATTTGAAATGCTTTTTCTCCATTGACGTGTTGGATAAAACAATCTGCTTTTGAAATTGCAGATTTCTTCTTGTCTAATCAGCCCTGCGATAGCACAACATTTATTGAAAGTGGAAAATGCTCAGCAATACGACCTATCTTCAGTGAAATTCTATATTTCTGGCGGTACGAGTATATTTCCTGAGCATATCTCCCGATTGAGAAAATTGTTCCAAGACGGAATTGTGCTGAATATTTACGGTTCCACAGAAGCTGGAGGATGCATTACTGGTTATGACTTGAAAAAGGACTTGGATTATGCACAGAGTCATGTAAATACTGTAGGAAGGATTTTGAATGACAATGAAATCAAAGTATGTATTGGGAACATGATAATACCAATCATTGTCTGCTAAATATGGAAAAAAAATCTAGTGAGCTGTAACTACTGGTCTGCTCTATAGCTCAGTTGAGTGTATGACCACCAGAGGATGTTACCGTATCGGACGAAATGATCTTCACTTCTTTCTAGAAACTTTTCGAAATTTGTGGTTATGTAAGTTGTTAGTGTCAAGAGCTGTCATGCCATCGTGACTTTTGTTGTATTTTTCTTAAAAACAATATTTCTTTTCCAATTCTCATTGTTCTAATATTCTTTTCATTTATAGATATAGTTTTGTATTGTGCTCCCAGTATTATAGTTTATTCTGATTGATAATTTGTTACGAATTCTGTCGTTCAATTCTTCCTACCAGAAAGTGTGAAACCGTCTAAAAATTGTTTCAAAGTTCATAGATTCATAGATTTTCAAGTAATATTCTTTTGCGACATGAATACATTCGATATTGAGTGTTACATCAGGCTCATTACAAGTGATATAATCAGAGCCCTGATCAAAAGCTAATAATCGATACTACTCATTCTACCTCCCATTTAATTCAGGTGTTGAACGTTATGAAATTCGGGATTATTGTAGTGTCTGTAGCTACCATTTTGAGAAGAAATGATTTTTTGAATTTTTAAGTGAGTGACCGTGACTCGTGACTATAAGTCGTGATACTGAACTTGAACTCACTGAACAACAAACTACGCGGCAGGCCAAGAGTGCCGAGAGCACCGCTGAGGGAGCTGCTCAACTCGTTTACGATTTTCAAGGTTATGTAGGTTTGACAGGAAAACAATTGAAATAAGCGTTTCCTCGAGTTGACCGTATGGCGGCACTACTGTATCGGCCACAGAAACCTGTAGGTGATTTCCCTTGATCCCTTGTTTGAGCACACCAGATACTACAGCTCACTAGATATTTTTTCTTCATATTTAGCAGACAATGATACCAATAATTAATCAGATTGAATGAACTAGATTTTTCAAAAATTCCCTGTTATTGATATAACTTTTGCCCCAATTCCCATCGTATCTCCTGTCGTTTCCAAGATTCCCATGGTGTACAACCCGACCTTGGCTATCCTATTGATTTATTTTTATTTATTTATTTATTCATTTATTGAACAAATAACTTCTAGACAGAATAGGTCTGGTATAAGGAAGTACATAATTATATACCCAACAAACATTTTAGGCATAATATACGTCATTTCGACCTTAGAATAGGTCAACGACTTATTTGGCCTAAGTGAATATTACGTCTTATTTACTTCAAATTTACCAATATGGGGAAAAAACTGGAAGTAATTCAGAAGACGAGAATAGGGATATTAGGGTATCCTGACCAATAGGTCGAGGAAACAATTAGGTGAAATTGCCCTAATTCTAGTCCGATAGTGGTCTGATTTTAGTTATTCTGACGTTATTCATTACCTACTTATGGGTGGGTTTACTAAGATTTCTACCTGTTTTACTGTCATTTGGTTGGGTTCGGAAAACAAATATGTACCGTGTTTCACGATCGACTATACCTACTCATTTACGTGTGGAGACTTAGGAGTTTATGAGCATGGCGTTCAAAAGAAAACTCGATAGTAGTGGAAGGTGTAGATAATATGCATGTTGTTTAGCTTATTTGACGTTGTTGTGAATCGTTATTCAACCTGCGATGCAAAATTTATTGTGATAATGTTGATTTTACACATGTAAAATTAGTGGGCCCACGAAATTATTGGATTTGTAGAAAAATACTGGATGATATTCTTTGTGTTTTCGAATTATTTTTCAACAATTCCATCTAAAAATGAATCAACTGGTAGAATATGATCATATATGCGAAATTTAACCTTTTCTGTATTACTATTCGTTAGGATGTAGTCGCTATGTAGAGATTTCTTCTTTTTCCGTCAATGGCGAAAAAGGTTTGAGCCAACAAATATGGCGTCGGTTTCATATTGGACTTGAAAGTCGAATTTTCCAGAATCTTCAACTTTCAGGGCGAATAGGCTTCGTTCATTGTCGAAAATTCTGTATTATCTGACTATGGAGCCCAATTTCCCCATATTGGGATTTTAGACTATATCAACGAGTATATATTACTTGAGTAGCAGTCAACCTGATGAATTAATATTATCAGATGTTCCCTATAATCATATAATTTGTCAAATGTTCGTTGTTCGCTTTCAATTTCTTATTCTGCACCACGGTATGTTTTCTAATTGGTCGCTGGATGACAGGCTTCATTTTTCAGCGAATCAGAATAGTCCATCGCCGTGTTGTCATCTCTCGAACAGTGTTGCCGTTCTAGTATACTTTTAGTACATTTGCCATTTTTGTACGTTCTCAACCGAAGTGTAATAATTTATACCTGTTTTTTTTTTATAAAAGTTATTTGAAATATGCATTCAGATCTGACCAATGGAATAAGTGGAAGTAAAACTTCGAATGTCAAAACAAATCGATGGTTTAGATGATCAAACATCATCGTAATGTATAGAAAGATATCATGATTTGCTTTACAAGCGCTCAAGCGGTAAGCTACCTGAACCACTCACTGGTGATAAAGAATAAAACATTCAAGACTCATACATTGCGCTTGTCTCCAGTTTTTAATATTTTCAGAAATTAATGATCATTTCAAAACAGTTGCCGACCTCAAAACACCAGGATCAATAATAGTCATCAACTTTGAGAACATGATTTTAGGACTAATTTTGGTATTCTCGACTCTCTCAAGGACACTTCGTTCTATAAGGATTTCATAGTGGTAATCTTGCCTTCATCGGATATGAAGTTGGTACTGATTAGGTTAAAAAAAGTCTAAGAAACTCCTTCGACTCAATTGGTCAAAAATAGGCAAAACAGAGTATAAATCAGACTTATTTTCTCCATCTGATTATTCCCTGACTTTATGATCGTTTATGAAGTTAGAATTTGGTAAATTTCAACTCCAATAAATATCCTGATAGTTCGAGGGCCTGGAAGACATTTTACTGGTAATTTTGATGTTAAATATTACCTAATTGATAACTAAATGCTCACTAGGACCATGAAGTTATGTTTGAAGTCTGTAATGAGTAGTTTCCAACTATGCAATTTGTCTATAAAGTTGATGGTTTTTAAAGAAAAAGTTGAGGTCCTAACCAGGCATTTTACAACCTAATCCATAACTTTCAAGATACTCAGGGCATAAAGGTAAAATATTTTGTCGGAAATTAGTAAATTTCGACTTCTTCGAGTAATTTCTCCTCTCTGCTTGGTATAATTCTCTTAAAATGTTGGTTGGGTACCTATAGGTAAACATTTCATCATTCAAAATATATCAACATCTATGAATTGGCAAATAAAGAATAATATTCCTGGAAAGAACATAGTAAAATAATTTGATTAACTTTATTCAGTTCACTCAGAAGTAATCCGTTTTTTAAATTCATTTTTGAATGTAGCTATATTTCTGCAGTTTTTGATATCACCAGGTAGTTCATTGAATTGAATGAGTGAATCTGTTTTTTTCCGAGTATGAAGCTAGCGGCGTCAACATGAAACAAATTATTGTCTAGTTTCATGATTATGAATTTCAGAATTCCGTATCAAAATAATATCCGTTTTCAATTCTTCATTTATTAGATTGTATGAAATTTTGAGAAATTCAATTCTATATATTGCATCTGAAGAATATGTATTTGTTATTTCATACAATTGATTGGTTGGTGCATCAAATGGGAGATGGAGACAGTACTTTTAACGATTTTCTATATTATAATGTTGATATTATATTGGAATTATTTCTCGAACAAGATTCCCAAACATTTAATGAGTGTAGAGAATCATGTTTGCAATTTTAATATCAAAAGTTTGGGGCATCTTCTCAATGCACCAATATTTGGAGACATTTTCTTTGTTAGAACATCAATATGTTTGTCCCATTTCAACCTGTCATCAAACCAAATACCAAGATATTTTATCTGGTGAGTTGATTTTAAGAGTTCATTGATACCTTCTTATTCCACGGTTTTTCTTCAATGAGTATTATATCAGGCAATGCTCTGGAAACTTTTCAATTTCCTATTGTCTGTGATCTATGTTTGAGGGTCTTGAGGGATATAATGACTAGTTTCAAGAATGATTTTTGACCAATTGAGTCTTGAATCTTGTGCCTATATATGCTTCGACGTGCTCATTGCGCAATATATTGGATGATACAGTCATTACCCATCATAAATAAACATAATTCATTCTAGATCATTGATCCGAAATCACGAGAAATATTGGGCCCCAACCAACCAGGGGAGATATGGCTGAAAAGCTCGTACGGAATGAGTGGCTACTATAATAATTTCATCCCCTCAACATTGGATTCAGATGGTTTCTTTCAATCAGGAGATTCAGGATACTACGATGAACACGATTTCATCTATATCAACGGTAGATCCAACGAGATGTTCAAATACGGTACTCTCAAAGTGGTACCAGAGTACTGGGAATCAGTTTTGCAAAACCACCCATCCATCTATGATGCAGGGGTGCTGGGCATTCCCCATGGTAGTGATGGGTGGCTTCCAGCAGCTTGTATAGTTCTCAAGGAACATGCCGACACTACTACTGTTGAAGACATTGAAGGATTTTTTGTCGAAAAAATGACCAAGAGACATAGATTAGCTGGAGGGATACGATTCGTGGAGAAATTACCAAAAACACCATCATTCAAACTGCGAAGGAGTCAATTATTTGATGTTTTCATGGGAACTTGTTAATAATAAATACATGAAAAACTTTTCATTCTCACCAACTTCATTATTTGTTGTGAATGTAATCTCCTTCGTAACTATCGAGGTAGAAAAACATCGATACAAATATGTCAATTATTTTATTCAACAATTAATATTAATAACCTATAGAAAATCTACCACTGTTTGAGAGCACAATTCCACTCTGCCGTATATCATTCTCAATATTGATATTCAATATTCTCATCATCATAGGCTTCAGGATATAATTCAAGATTCATTCTAGATGAGATGGAAATAAAAAGATTCACACTACTTGAATATTATTCTTGATATTCCCCGCATATAGAACAACAAAGATGCAATTCATGTATACAGTGATCATCACTATAGTATATTGGTTGATGATAAATTTGTGTATTTGATAAAAGCTTGTGCAAATGATAATATACGGGGAGAGGGGTGAGGGGGTGGTAATTGAGAAGACTTAAAATCGCACTACCATAAGATGTGGGCATCATTTTATTACAATAAAGAGCATAATTTCATTCAGAACTGCATTCCGTGAGAAGATTCAGGATTTTGAAGTTATATTTCACAAATAAATAGATGAAAGCATGATAAATTCAACTTAGATTGTATGTTATATTTACAAATGATAAATACACATGATTGAAGCGAAATGAAAAGAAATATTATTCTATAAGGAAACAATCAATTATTCTTCAGCCTCGGTTGATGTTGAATGAAATAATCATTTCTACCAGTTTACAGTATCATTTAAGTCAACGCATTTTTTCTTTCATTTTGGTGGCTGGATTTTCAAACAGTACACAAGATTTTTGAATCCAAGTAGTCAATGATTCATAGATAAAGAAAAAAATCACATTCCTTATAACCACAAAACATGTTTCGATGCATTGAAAAGATATTAATTGTTGTGATCATTGTGCTGAAGGTTTCAGTCTTTCTAGAATACTTCATGAAAATTATTGTCTCTCATACTCCATCTCCATGGTAACTCGGTCCAGGAGCTCATTCGCTTGTTTCTATCCATATAAAAAAAATAATAAACCAGAAATCCCTATAAACTACATACCATCTATCCAAGCACACACTGTATTCTTCATACCAATCACTGAATAGGACAGTGGGAGGCAGATTCATGGTATACAGGGTTTTCAAACTCAAGTCGGCATTATTGCTAATTTGGTTATTATTGGAGCAACAATATCAGTTGAATCAAACTGGTAGTTTTTTGTCCACTGATTACGATGATGAAATCGAAACAAAAATCGAATATCGCGTTCCCGAATTGAGTCAAAATGTAACATGTTTTAAATGGGACACCCAGTATACAATATTCTGAATCGATGAAAAATCCGGATCTGAACATAAACTATTATCCTGAATTGAAAAAATGACTAGCTATCGGCGAAAAAATATTTGACTGGTTGAAAAATTATCTGGAAAATAGAAAGTAGTATGTTGAAGTCAATAATACTTTATATATGATTTTTATAAAATGTATCAATGATGGAGAGAATGTGATGCAATAACTGAAATGAATGAAATGAATAAATGAAAATAATATTTGTAGCTCCATAAGGGATATCAAATGTGATGTACCACAAGGTTCCGTTTTAGGTCCAATTTTATTTTTAATTCACATCAATTCAATATCATCTTTAAAACTGAAAGGAGATCTAAAGGTATTTGCAGATGATACCACAATAATCTATTCATCTAAACAATTTAATGATATAATTGATGATATAAAAATTGACTCGAAAATGATATCATCTTGGCTACAAATTCATAAGCTGACTTTCAACTATGACAAATCTACGTATATATATATCTCAAGAAGAAAAACTGGTATATCGAAAACAACAATATTTTTCGAAGCCACAAAATATTTAGATATTGATGAACAATTATCTTGGGCTAAACATATAGATTACCTGAGAAAAAAGCTAAATCCGAATACATTTTATATAAAATTCGAGATTTCATCAGTCTAAGATATTTGAAAAATATATATTTTTGTCTGCGGTACTCAAAATTACAATATTTAATATCAATTTGGGAAAGCACAAGTATCACATTTGAAACCATTAAGGAAATTACGAAATAAAACAATTAAGTGCATTTACAATTTACATTACCTAGAACCAACTATTAATCTTTACAAACAAAAAAAATTGTCTTTACATTAAATAAAAATTTGTTCTTTTATCCATTTTGTGAAAAAAAAAAATCTAACTTGAACTTTACTGAAGTAAATACGATTCATACTCATGAAACAAGACAGTTGAATTCATTATTATAGCAAACCCATATAACTCCATTATTGACAAACAATCAGTAGTCTACAACGGAATCATTCCATATAAATCGTTACCTTATGATTTGAAACATTGATGATGAAACAAGATTCAAAGTCGATATGGAAAAATGTATACTCATGACACTATAAACGGAGCAATTTATTCTCATTTGAATACTTGGGAAGATGTTATTTTAATTATTATATTATATTGACATCACTCGTTGATTAGTTTTTTTATTATTTGATATATTTATATATCATATGTTTATATATCCCTATTATAAACAAAGATGTTTCTTGGGGCAATGGAAGTTACTACAAATAGTACCTCGACCATCCTCGATTAACACAATCAATCATATTGACAAATTTGAGAAATTATCGATCCTAGTCATTTTTGAATTCAGAATGAAAGATTATGAGACAGTTTCTGTTCAGAATCGAATTTCCTATCGATTAAGAGTATTATATACTGGGTGTGCCACTTGAAACATGTAACCTTTCGACATAACTCGTGAAGGCGGTTCGATTTCTCTTTCAATTTCATCATCATAATCAGTTTGCCTATTCAACTGACATTGTAGCTCCAATAATAACCATGTTAGCGATAGTACCGACTCTTGAGTTCGAAAACCTTTATACCTTGACCCCTTTTTACCACGAGTGCACCTCCCCCTTCACATCTACCTTTCAAAAACACTCTCACAGTTTTCTCAAAATATCACATTAAGACTTCTTCCCCTTTTCTGCACCGAGTCCACTATCTGGATCAGGCAGCGCCAAGGTATTAGGACTGGTCCTCGTGACATTATTGACCAGAACCTTCACCATGGGCTCCACCATAGCCAGATCCTCGTGCGGGTCGTGTACCGCAGCCACCTCCACATTCTCCGCCGCAGCCAGACTTCCCCCCTCGTCTGTATCGAAGCCTATGGAGGCGCCCAGCTTCGCGGAGGCCTGCTGAAACGTGTCGCTCAGCTTCAGCTGCACCACGTTGATGCACATCGACATCAGCGCCAGCCCGAACACCAGGTACACGATGGACACGATCATACAGATCGGGTGCTTCGGCACGAAATCCCCGAAACCTGTAATGAAAACCAAATTTATTATTACGAGAACGCATGCACTAACATTCATGTATATGAAGAATATTATGAAAACTCTCCAAGTCGTCTCCACAACGTTTAATTTCAAATTCAAGAAGGGGGGACGTGTTTCGGAACCAAACGGTATACATCATCAGCCAGAATTATTTTACAAAGAACAACGAAACAATAAGTAGGTATATCGAGTGAAACAAATTGGTACTCACGCGGAGAAGAAAAAGACAAAAACATGGTTATGAGCATAGTATAACGGTTAATAAAACATATATAAAGTATAAAACAGTATTGAGTCAAGTCTCGAATTATCTTCGAAGTGTCTCCTATCTTTTCGTGAATGTGCCACTAGTGAGTTCCGAAGGAAAAGAGTGTTCATCGAGTTTTACAGACATGTACTTGTAATTGTGGCTTCTGGGCGAACAGTATATATCTTTTGTGTGACTGTAACAAAGGGGAAACTCAAATTTCCAATATGTAAGCACATTAAAACTGTTCCTCTGTTAACCTGACCAAAACATGTTTGAATATATGAATCTACAACTATATGGAGTCGTAATGTCTACACAACATAGTCTGCCTCCTGTCTAATGATCACGAACCCTGTGATAATGAACTTTGTGAAGACGTCTAATAGGCCAACAATGATAATCTTCGATTGAAGTGAATATTGCTCAAAATGAAGTAGAATTTGGGAAGGAAGGAGGGATTGCTCGAAGTCCACAAGGCCGCACAAATTTCAATAACGTTACACACAGACGGAGCTTCGAGAAATCCTTCCTTCCCTTCAACAGAGAGAAAGTAGGGCTGCACTAACCGATGGTGCTCATGGAGATGAAGACGAAATAGAAGGAGGCGAAGAAGTTCCAGTCCTCCCACACGCAGTGGATGAGTGCCCCGATGTAGAAGAATAAGGATAGAAAACCCTCTATTTGCACTTTATTATTATAAAAACTACCCAAGATCACTTTAACTAAACGAAAATCTGATCGATTCTGCTCGGGCCTCGGAAACAATACTCATTCAATTCAGAGACCAAGACTTGAGTCAAGTCTCGAATTATCTCTAGAGTATCTCCGCTCTGTTCGTGAATGTGCCACCAGAGAAAAAGAGTGTTCATTGAGTTCATTGGTCATTCATTGTTGACCAAATTGGGAATGAAAGCAGGAAAATCTAAAAAAATAGTCAGTAAAATACATCCATTCAGTCCTGAACAATCTTAAGGTGACTTCAACATGATGGCTTGATAGCCGTTCTGTTAGTTGAAAAGTTCTTCGGAAACAATAGTCAGTCAATTCCTAAAACAGTATTGAGTCAAGTCTCGAATTATCTCCAAAATAACTCCTATCTTTTCGTGAATGTGCCTCTAGTGAGTTTCAAAGAAAAAGAGTGTTGTCGAGTTTTACAGACATGTAATTGTGGCTTCTGGGCGAACTGTATATCTTTTTTGAGACTGTTACAAAGGAGAAACTTAAATTCCCAGAATGTGAGCACATTTGAACTGTTTATCTGTTAATCTGACCAAAAGATGTTTGAATATATGTATCTATAACTATATGGAGTCGTAATGTCTACACCACATAGTCTGCCTCCTGCCTAATTATCACGAACCCTGTGATAATGAGCTTTGTGAAGACGTCTAATAGGCCAACAATGATAATCTTCGATTGAAGTGGATATTGCTCAAAATGAAGTAGAATTTCGGAAGGAAGAAGGGATTGCTCGAAGTCAACAAGTCCACAAGGCCGCACAAATTTCAATAACGTTACACACAGACGGAGCTTCGAGAAATCCTTCCTTCCCTTCAACCCCTAACAACACCAGTACATCCTAGGGACTTCCCATGGACGTCCCTGATTTTATACTAGGACATCCCAGGGATGTCCTTTGCCGGGACAACGTACATACTAGGGATGTCCCAGGGACATCCGCTGGCCGCTACAAAAGGCATCCAAGGGATGTCCTTCTGGTACGTCCCTGGGATGTACCAAGTACGATGAAGGGATATCCCTAGGACGTCCCAAGGATATCCCAGGGACATCTTTTCACCAAAAGAAAAAAGTTGCAGGTCGAGTAGGGATTGAACCCGGGACCTTTGGCTTATTATGCACGCACCTTGCTCCATTGGCTATCATGCCTCCTGAAGATTTATGTACTAAACAGATTTATAAACAGGACTTGACTACAGAAACCTGAATAAATACAACTTTATTAGGAATTGGGTATAATTATTATCATTCTTGGGTGTTTAAAAATGAGGGGCATTATGCATGTACGATTTCTGTCTGCGAAAAATGGTAATTTCTTAAGAAGTTCTGAGACTTTATTCTTTATTTTCATTACAATCATTTTCCGGAAGAGAAACAAACATTTTCGAAAAAATTCAACTCAATAGTTTGATGAAATTCAATGACTCTGATGTGAATGGATATCAGATACTCCAGGGACACGAATAGGATAACCTAGGGATGTAATGGGCGGGATGTCCACTGGACAACCACTGCATTACATCCCCAGGATGTCCCAATCATGTCCTTGTACCGCGGGACAAAAAAGGGACGTACCTAGGAAATCCCTGTGTTGTTATTAGGGTATCTGTCCTCGTTTGACGCATATAGCAGAGAGACAATTATATACACGGAGTGCGCACTACTGCGCACTTCTCAACAGTAAATATCTAATCAATAAATTTCAAAAGTACCAAAATTGAGCTGAATGATGTACTGTACTGAATTGGATGGGTATAGAAAATATAAAGACTGGATTTTCCCAGGGAGATCACAAATATGCATTTTCAATATTTTGTTGTAACATATCAATTCTGATACAAATAGCAAATAGATTTCAAGATATACATCAGGGACATGAATGGGACAACTCAGGGATGTCCCAGTCGGGACATCCCCTGGAAATACTGAGCAGGACATCCTAGGGATGTCCCAATCATGTCCTTGTACCGACAGTACACGTTGGGACATAAAAGGGACGTACCTAGGATGTCCCTGTGTTAGGGAGAGAGAGTAAGTAGGGCTGCACTAACCGATGGTGCTCATGGAGATGAAGACGAAATAGAAGGAGGCGAAGAAGTTCCAATCCTCCCACACGCAGTAGATCAGTGCTCCGATGAAGATGTAGGCTATCAGAATGAAAAGAGCGACGGAGATGGGCAGGTTGAATTCGTCGTCGATCTCGAAGTTGGAGATAGCTGGAGTTGTGGGGGTGTCGGTTTCCGTGAGGAGGGAGGTGGTGTTTAGGGAGGGGGGTTTGGGGAGCTGCTGGTCCTGCTCCTGGGGGTTTTCCAAGTCGCTGGGCTGTGTGGAGATGGAGGGTCTTCGGAACGTCGCGATGTCGTACATCATTTGGGCGCCTTTGAATATTTCCTGGAACAGGTACAACATTTTATAATCGACAGTACATAATAATTTCCCAAAAGGGAAAGATCAAATTCTAAACTTGGACAAAAAAGTTTACCCATGAGGCGATTTCGAAATTCAATAAATTACCAGATGATATCATAAACAGCCCAAGTATTATACAATTCGAAAATGAAGTGAAGAAATATATTTATATGCATAGGAATGATCAAAGCTGAAAGACTATGAATTTCCTTTTTTTTTCACTGTTTTTTTTTCCTTCTTGTTCACTATAATATGACTGTTATTTTGAGATATCTTAATGATATATAAGTTTTCTTCACTTTCTTCAACAGTCGATAATACTTCATGAATGATCTTCCAGGAATTTCTGTCTGATCATTCATGTCATTTCTACTAGAAAAATTAATTATCCTCCATATATTATTTGTATAAAATGTATCAATGAAGAAGAGAATGTAATGCAATAACTGAAATAAATGAATAAATAAATAAATAAATGAAAAATGAAAGTCATCTCCACAACTTTAATAATGATGTAGTCAATCAAAGGGAGATGTTTCGGACTTATTAAAGTCCATCTTCAGCCGAATTTTAGAAGTAACTACAAGCAAAGGCATATGTGAAAATATACATATTGTTATAAAGACCAAGAATTGACTTACATGGGGGTGAACATTATATGTGTTCCCAACCTCGAGTTGGATACAACACGTTTTTGGCTCTTGGCTCCATTCATTCTAAATTGATTTTTGAATTTTGGTGCGCTGAAAAATGTTTTTATGAGCACCTTGAGCGTTCTTAGTGCACGGGGCCCTTCATTTTTAATGAAAACCCGTTTATTCTAAACAATATAATAATACATATATTTATTACCAATCACGATATTATGATGACAGACATCGGCATCCATTTTTGAAAACACTGGGCAAACATGGACCAGAGATTACATTATAATTTATTTGATTTTAATTTCACTCTTATTTGGAATGTTGGAAACAGCACAAGACCATGACAACTTGATGAGTGCATGGGAATGAAAATCAGGATGCGAAGTGGCTAAAGTCCAATTCAATGCTTCTGTTTCCATAGCATGAAATTAGAGCCGTTTATCTCCGAATAAGAACCCTTTTCGAGTTATTTGGAATCAAAATGAGCTACGAAATTTATAGGTTGAAAAAACGTGGAATATTGAGAAATTGCCTAGCTTCCTGTTGAATGTGAAAATGTGATCTGCAGTTCTTTCGAAGCGAAAACTGTTGATGATAACTGCATTTCATAAGTAGGTCTCACAGAACACAATGATTTCATTGAATAATTTCCAGCTCGAAGTGGTTCGAAAAACATCAATAGCAGAAATCTAGTTCTCGCAAATTGAAGGAATAGTGTCATGCATGGATCATCAATTTTGCAACACTTTTTATGGTACCCACCAATAACATTTCTGTTCTCTCTATATAGTACCCACGATGTTTCAGGAACATAAAAGGGATTCCTTTCAATGCCTTCCGAAATATGAAAAAAAAAAAAAATGTATGAATACAAACCTGCACATGGGCAGTTTTCCTATATTTCCTACAGCTCCCTGTGTAGTACAGCCTCCGGACGAACGACCAAAGAAATTTGATGCCTCTGGTGAAAAGTTTTCCAAAATCCGTCAGGGCTATGAGAAACAGCGGTATCCCTATGATGGAGTAGACTATAGTTAGAGCCCTTCCTGTTATCGTAGTTGGATAAAGATGACCATAACCTGGAATAATTGAAAAAGAGTTAAGTTCAAGTCAGCACCTACAAACTGGTAGAATATATTTTTGATTGTATTTGAACCAGTGTGTCAATGTTCTATTTAATATTTCACCTTCAAAAGAACCTATAGTCCCAGAATGTGGCGATTCTTCATGTTGAAAAACTTTTCTTATCAATTCTTCAATCAATCCATACGGAATAATATGATTTGATACATGCATTCAAAGAACACAGGGTGTCCAGAAAGGTTGATAGAGTGAGCCAAAATAATGTCAGTACTTCATATAAAAAAATTCCACACCACACTTCGTCACAGAGTTATATCAGTTGAAAATTTGAAAACAAAAATATTCCATGTATAACTTTTAAACGGTTGCCATGATAACAATGATATTCAAGCCCCTGCAACTAACATGATGTTATTGAGTGAAAAGTGTTTTCATTACCTTTGAAATGGTTTAAATGTATGTTTCTCAAATGTGTGGAACGGTACAAAAAAAGGTGGAGGAATCAAACGGTGAAAGCAAAATGTCATATTTGTTATCTCTGTCAAAAATTTTTCCATTGAACGAAAAAAAATCATCCTATCCTGTATAGAACAATCACTGAACAGCTGTTCACATATCGAAAGGAGTATTAGTATGAGTTGAATTCAGTTGCCCGAATAACATTGATACTATGGCAATCGTTTGAAAGTTATAGATGAAATATATTTTTCTCTTAAGTCTTGGTCTTTAAACTTTCAAGATTAATAACTCCGTCACAAAGTACGATAGACAATTTTTTTATATACAGTACCAGCATATTTTTGGTTCAGTCTATCATCCCTATTATTTACAACATGACCTTTCCGGACACACTGTGTATGCACTCGAGTGGTTCCCAAATTTTATTTACGAAAATGATTCACAAAAATATGAATGAAACTTCGCGCAGCTATGACTTGGAAAGTTATCTCATAATCAAATTCAATCTTATGGTGTTGATGAATTCCGTAATGAAATAATTATAAATAAATCGTTGAATAAATTACACATCCACGTGGAGAGTTTTTTTCTTCGAAAAATATTCATAATGGATGAAATAGATACAGGTGTGGAAAAGCTGAACACGGTTCAAAATCAGGACAACAATCCATCTGAGGTACCTACTAATCTAATTTCTGTTCAATTTCAAATAGAACTTGCTAGGGAACCAAAGGCTCTACAAGCCTCAATACACATCCTAAATCTTACCAATCGTAGTAACGACAGTGAGTGCATATACCACTCCATTCAAAAAACTCCACGCTCTCTGACCACTATAACTAGTCATCCCTGCCTCGTGAGCAGTATGCAGCTCCTCCTCAAACACCCTCAGCCTATTCCTAGCCAACGACTTCCATTCCTCCTCCCTCATGTTGTGACTCCTAAGCCATAGCAACTCTATAAAGTCTCTCTTGACCCGCTTTACCCCGCACTTATAGTAGTGCTCGAAACTGCCTTCAGTGAACTTGAAAATCACACCACCAACGCCACAGTACATCATGATGAGGAACAGTTCAAACATACACCGGTTCCAGAGCACTCTGAGCTTGCGGTACTCCGTTTTACGTTCGACCTTGTACAGCTTGTACGACCTGTAGATGTCTAGGATAGAAAAGAATCTCAGTATCCTGAAGACATCGAGGACCCTCATGTCAGAAGGTCTGACTATAGTTTTCCTCGCCACTACATCCGAGGTTTTCGGGTCAAGAACCTCAATGATCTTCGTGGAGTAGTCCCGTTGTTTTTTCCTTTGTCTTATAATGGACTGAGCTTCTGGTCTCAATGGTTTACGAAGGCATGGTTCTACGGTTCTAGCCCTTCTGAATTCTGGTTCTTGAAGCAGAGGTGCTTCATTTTCGTCTGTGAATTCACGTGATCTGTCATTTTGAGCGCTCAATAGCTGAGCTTTCTTGAAGCTTTCTATCAGTTCTTGTTCGGTGAACTGGTGAGGGGCAGATTGACTCCTTTTGATTTGTTCTTTCTCATACTTTCTGAACCGTTCCCTGCCGCGTGCTGCAGCTGAAGTTAGGCTCTTTTTAGTTTTGCTAAGGAAGGACTTGACTTCTTCTTGTGCCATGTCCGATAGACTCTTCTTTCTTTCATCACTGGCGGTTTTCGGGTTGTTGAAGCTGTTGGTTCTGCTGATATCATTGCTGTTGCCGTTCAGCAAGGTTTTTTTACCTGCTGGTTCTGATTCGGGTTCGCTGATAGGTTTGCTTAGAGACCTGTTTCTCCTTGGTCGTTTTCGTTCGGGTGTTTTCGGTTGCTGTTTGGGTGTATCTTCGTCCGAAGTCACCGGTTTTTCTTCTAAATTCCTCACAGGCGTGGGTTCTCGTCTAGTCAAACTTGTGCTACGTTTTTTCGTGAATTTTCTTCGTTTTCTGGCCACTATATCACTACGCACTTGTTCGGGGGTTATGTGAGCTTCTAATTTAGCCAAATCGATGTCTTCATTCTCGTCTTTCACTAGGTTTTGATCACTTGTTTCAGTTGATGTTTGCGTTGAATCCATATTTATGGGACTAATGTAAAAATAGACGTGCAGCGTTGACGAAAATCGAGTTGGCCGTGCTATTTTAAACTGATTTTGTAGATGGAGCTGAAAGTAGTGCACGAATATAATTTCAGGAATATTTTTAGAAGGATTTCAGAATAGATGACAGACTTTATGTAAGATAGGTATTCGAGGGGTATTTGGGTCCATATAATTTGGAATGTTTGTTTCTTATAGTCATTCACTGACCGTTTAGTGAAAGTCGGTATCAAATAATGGATATTGAAAAATACCTATACTACTCACCATGAATAATGAAAAGCTATGTACCAGGTGATTCATTTGACCCAAATAAATACTATATGCATACTAATTGGAAACACATCTCATGAAAAAACAAATAATTGATTTATTCTGATGGAGCAGAAATTGCAAGATTTGCAAAAATAACAGGAATAATTCATATAAACATATATGTTTTGGAACTCATTTTCCGAGTTGAAGGGAGTTGAAGTAGAAAATGAAATTTGCCACAAATTCCGAAGATATCAATATTTAACCCATCATGGCATAGAATAGAATGAAATGAGCATATGAAGATTAACACGAACTAATACTTGTATATGATTCGTCAGGATTATATCTAGAATATATACAATACAATGATAGTAAGAAATAATATGAGTTCAACAAAAGTTTGAATTAAATAACATCAAGAAAATTGAAAACAGTTTATAAAACATAGTCAAAGAAATCACTAAGTGAGTGAAACATACTTTCAGTTAGGAGAGCGTTCAGGCTATTCCTGAATTTGAGGTGAGTGGTACAATCCCTGACACTTCCTGGCAAATTGTTAAAAATTTTGATACCAATGTTTGTAGGGCCAGTGTCGTTACCACCGATAAAACAAGGCCAGCAGACTCTGACGTAAACAGCTCGTGACGTCGCATACTCAGGCCATCTTCCAAGGCATTCGCGTCGATCGATCGTCAGTTTGTTTTTGTTTAAGAACGGTGGCGTAGGTAAATCGCGTGTGCACGAATTCTCTTGTTGTTTATTCATCAAAATAATTGGCGGAGAAATTACTGTTTTGTGAAATATTTCGTGTTGTGATAGGCGAAATAACAATGCTTTACAAGTGTTGTGTTCCCTCTTGTCGGGGGAATTATGTGGGTGGTCCAAAAGTTCATGCTTTTAGTTTCCCGTTGGACAAGAAACTATCGAAAAAGTGGGTACATGCAATTCGCCGCAAGGATTTTACGACTCCATCTAAGTACAGTAAAGTATGTGAATTACATTTTACTGAAGATGATATTATTACTTCATCTACTGCAACCGATTCAAAAACTGGCAAAACTGTAACAATAGATTTGAAAATTCCTAGGCTCAAACGAGATGTTATTCCCACTCAATTTCCCAACTGTCCATCTTATTCATCGAAAGATGTAAAATTACGCACAAGTCGTGATGGAAAACTTGAGATACTAGAGACTAAAAATTTGGCACAAGCACTTACCAAAAGTAAAACTGAATTCGAAAATTACCAAAAATTATTTTGCTACACAGTATTTCAAGAATTCCTAGTTGTATTAGAGTATTTTCAGTTGCCCGAAAAGTGGTTCAAAATTATCGATTTGCAAAAAGTTACATTATTCAAATTGTCTTATTCTCCAGGGCCCGTAATTACATATTCGGTTGTGATTGATTTTGTTTTGAATGTGGAATCATTTTTGTGAATGTGGAATCATTTTTGTATGACCTAGCGATACAAACATCTCTAAAAGCCAATCTGAAAATACCTTTTATCTCTAATAATATCAATCAAATCAAAGAATTACTAATTGAAATAGATAAAAACGAGATACATAATTCGGGAAAATGTCTTGACAATCAGAAAAAGAGGGTTTTGAAACATATTTAGAATGCATTGGACTCTTTGGTTTCTGATTCAATACATTCTCAAATTTCTTTCTGAAAACGGTCATTTGCCTCGTGGCAATGAATGCAGAATTCATTCCAATGATCAAATTGCAACTATTATATTAACATGTACTACAAACACTCTACTTAAAAATTACTGTTTCAAGTCTAACGACCAATTGGGTAAAAAATCCAACAACAGGAAATTGAAAACACTCACTGGCTAATTTTTTAGGCAATAGGAATTCTCCAAGATAAATATAAGTAATTAGGTATAACAAACGGCATGTCTATCAAACTAAAATACATTTTCCCCAATTTTCTTTCGATCAATCTCATGATAAGTTTATGTTCTGCGGCCCTGTATAAGTAGGTGTGAAGTTTTTACCTCTAATGAGATTGAATCACTACAATTTTTGCCAATATATTTAGTTCGAATGGGTTGCTGTAGGTGGGTATTTGTGTTTTATTCTGGTTTTTGCTTTGAAACTTCGTTTTTCCATAATAAAATCGAATGGGATGCGAAGAAGGGCTCAGTTGACGGCTGGCATCCTCTTTCAACCGGAAGCCCTTCAAAAAAAAAGCAAAATCGGCTCAATAATGATCTAAAACTAAAATCGAAATACGCCGTCGCCTTATAGCGCTATAAGCGCTTGTCGTTTCGAGCCGCTGGTTAGGCCTGACTAAGTGACGTCACCCACGGAGCATTCAGGCCTTGTTTTATCGGTGGTAACTCCAGTGTACGTTAGTTGTAAGGTGGGTAAATTATGTTGTTATTCCTTGTTGAATAGGACTGTATGTCAGTGTGTGCAATTATGATATTATTGAGGAATATGAAATGAGCAACCTCGAGTATATACAGACAAGCTAGTGATAGAATGGTAAGTTGTATGAACACTTGCAATGGTGAAACCTTGGCTCATAGTGGATGGTTCGAATAATTTTTTTCTGGGTCAAGAAGGGATTTTTGAAGACTGGGGAGGTACCTCACAGAATTATGCCATATATTGAAAGTGACTGTATTTCGGCAAAGTAAAACATTAGGAGAACATCGATATCTGTGACTTTGCGCATACACATCTGAGTCGATAAATCCTGGTACTCATCTCTTCAATTAGGCAGTTTGAATGTTCATGCCAGTCCAGTGATTCATGTAGTGTGATTCCTAAAAATTTCATGGTATCTATTAGTTCCAGATTAGAGTTGTTCAAATGTTATGTCAGTAGGTCAACTGTACTTCGTTAAGTATGGAATATCAGAAAAGATCTTCATTGAGGTTTAGATATATCTGGTTTGCCGAAAACCATGTGTACATTTTCGCAAGCAGTGAATTGCATTCTTGCATGTTCATTCTGATAGTTGGATTCGTGTGAGATCAAGAATTTGGATTCATATCAGGTCATCATCATCATTTTTTTGATTGAAAACTAAGCAAGATACGAAAAAGCTCATAGAACAGGAAAGTTGTATTTTCTATTGTTGAATCGAATGAAATTATGGAACTCCTAAGAATCAGATACAGAGTTTCTTATAGTCATGAATAAAAAAATATTTCTTTCGAAATGCTTGAGCACCTTGGCTCTGGAAAAAAGAGCTCAAAAACATACATTTACATGCACTTTCAATTTTATTTTGACGATTTCAATTGCTTTTCCAATTTTTCCGATTAAAATTTCAAACACCCTGTATACAGTGTGTCTCACTTTGAAAGCTCCTCTCTATATCTCAGCTATTATTCGAGCGATTCGTACCAATGATTATCATCACTTTATATTCTTGTTTCTCATGTTTAGTGAATTTCAAATTATAGGAACTTAGTGTAACATTACAGCAGAGGTTCATGTTGAAGTATATTTAGAAAAATAGACTACAGTGTATATCGAAAAATTAGTTTATAGATTTTTACGATTTCCGCTAAACCGCAAATTAATATGTTGAAATACATTCATCAAAAACCATGTGCCGCAAACTTTAAGAGCTCGTATATCAATAATTATGCACGTTTTTATTATCAATACCTACATTCAATGTAAACGAATCGATAGAATATTAATAAATGAGGATTCATCGGGATTTCAACACACCAATCCAAATGTAGCAAGTCAAGAGTACCTATTTACCTACTGTAGTAAGCAAAATAATCATATCCTTTGAGCAATTGGAGAGTAACTTTAAAAAAATAACAAATATATACCTGAAACTCGTTGTGTGTTCTCATGATCTAGGACAATATACTGAAGTTTAAGCATCTACCTTTATACAATTCTCACCTAGGAGTTACATTAGTTGTTTATTATATCAATCAAAATATGATGGTTTATTCTTAGCCTCGGCTACGCCTTGGCTATGAAACGCCAGCCGCAACATTGAATCTTGTTCAGCTTGTCAGCTCCTTATTCTGTTATTTAAGCAATTCATGACTCCTATACATTGGGAATGCTGAATCATGCACTAGATCATCTTCCACGACAGTTTACTGTGGAAAATCATAACAGGGGGTCCATGTTCCGGACTGAGTATATACCCTCAGTGTGATTTTTTACAGAAAACTGTCGTGGAAATGGCATATGTATTAAACTGATCGAAAAAAATCGAGGATATTTTTGAAACCGAACTACATGAATACTAATAGCTATAGGTACCACATTATTTTCTCAAAATATTTCTTCATATCAATGTCCTCAAATTCCATGATATCAAAATATTGAGTAAAATGGTGCTCTCCGAGGTTGAAAAAACTTTATGTAATCAAATTCAACCGATTTCAACGGGTCCATAAAAGATGCTGTATAACAGTTCCAACAACCTTTATACAATATATCCCGCTAATACAGCTACTGACATAATAACCTACTGCCAATATCACTAATGCTATAAGGAAGACGCTGGTGAGTGCCTTAAATCGTGTTCACTGCTCTTACTTATGTTTCCAAAACCCAGGAAACATGACTCGATGTCTTGAACGACAGTTTAGAGGCAGAAACATTGAGCAGATGAATTTTTAGGCGACCAAATGAGATCAGATTTTCGAGATGCTGAGATATAACAAATAACGGTCTAGACTCTAGATAGTAGTTATGCCTTAAAGTTGGGTTGAGTCAGTGGGCATTGGTTGACGAGAATCACCGATATCATGAAACAAGTTTGAATTGAAAAATTTTCATCATGTATTTCATTTAGAGGCGAATTTTCGGAAAAGTCTCGAGTCAATAGTCCAATATGAATAATGGATATCGAGAAGGTCATTTCTGAATATACTAAATCGAATGGCCCATGGTTTTAGTAACCGTTTTTGATTTTTTTTACTGAAATGAGATTTTGTTTTATTTTCTTATCATCCTGTATATTCCACAATAGTGCTTTTTTCTTCTCTCAATGTCCCCCACGAAACATGAGAACAGTTCTTCCCAATAGTCAGCTCGAGTGGAGTTCTGGGGGAAAAATTCAAGAAATGCAAGACTTTCGAAAAACAATCTAATTTTTGTTCCAATGGCCAATTAAGGAGAAAACACGAAAATAACCCGAGATGAGGTCCCAGTGTATCATAATATGACTGACTTTTGATCAGAAAAAAATACCTCGAGTATTGGCAGCATTGGAAATTCAGACCATAGTGTAATGGTTCCACTTTACACCCTGTGTAAGTTTCGTTCTGCGGATTTTTTCAGAGTGTTCTAGCTCTCTTTCAAGCTGATGAAACATTACATCTGATATCGAAAACCGCACGATGATCGGTCAATTTTTTCAAAAAGTACAGGTCTTCGAAATAGAGTCAAATTATGAGTGGTCCATTTAGTGTGTTGAGAACTGTATGTTCAGCAGCTTCAGCAAGTACCTCTTTCACCACTGCTTCCTGAAGATGAAGATCTACTACTTATAAATGAATATACCAACTCCATAATATTGAGAAAATATTGAAAAGAGCAATAAACAGTAGAATAAACAAAAATATATCATTATGACGTTACGCTACAACAGACAGAATCGAAAAGTAAATGAAATGAGTATGGGCCAAAAAAAAATCCTAGAACGGATCATGCTCGAGAGCAGGTACTGGTTTCGGATAGTTTTAGGACCGTCCCAGGACGATTCTGAAAAAACCCGAACGCTTAGTCAGTCCTAGAAAATGCCTAGAACAAAACCCGAACGCGACCGATTCTACTGCACACACTCCTGACAGTTCTAGAACAGTAATTGTTCGAACCCGAATGAACCTAAATTCAAGGAAGTCGGTCTTCAACAATGAACCGAACTCACCTATAGTCGTATAAATCGTAGCACAGTACACGATGGAATTCCACATCGTCCACACTTTATCACCCCGGTTGGTCACTATCAGCGAATGCTGCTGATATTGTTCGATGATCTTGAGCTCATAGTCCAAGAGGGTCCTGAAAGCCTCTCCCTCCCACTCCCCGTCGGAGGTCCTTTGAGGGAGCACCACCGAGAAGTTGCGCAATTCGCGGATCAGCTGGTACCTGTCCTTGCGAAGATCCCGTTCCACTATCCTGATCTCGTTCTGACCTGAAAAACGAATATTATTCGATTAAAAAACTTGATTTACCGTTATCTTGTCTCGAACTTTCGAATTTCAATTCATCCTTATATAGCCTGCCACGTCGTTAAATACGTAATTTCACCCAGTATGCCTTTCGAAGGGTATCAATATGTATATATTTCATGCATTGAAGCATGTTTTCAAACTCCAGAAATTTAAGAAGAACACCAATTCCTACTTTGTTTGCCTTGGTTCTCACGATGTTCTCTGAACATTACAGGATATCCCTTTTCGTGGGAACCAGAACAAGGAAAAAAATCCTTAGAATATTCTGTGCTGTCTGGGAATGGTTGCTTACATACAGAAAAGTGCACAGAAAACAGCCAGGACTGTAACTTTCGAATTATTCCAGATATGGTTCTGGAAATTGGTAGGCAGCTAGTATACCAAATTGCTCAGCAATTGAGGAACCACTTTTTGTTCTATCACTTCCGGTTCTACTGGATACGACCCTAACTTTTGATTGTTAAACGGGACACCTTGTATTGTATTCCATAATCAGTTAGGGATTGTTATAACGAATTCATCGATTCTGAACGATCACGCAGATATTCGCGTTCTACGTTTCCATATGCTCAACGAGTGTGACAGAGAAAGATGTTTTGATATTGCGAAGTCACACCCATTGAGCATATTACGGAAACTTCGAACGCAAATATCAAACTCGGTATCGTTAAATTCGTCATGATTATCCCTAGCCGTTTATGATATACAGGGTGTCCGCTAAAAGGAGGTCAATCCATTAACCATATATTCCTTGAACAAAAACAATATGAGTTTCTCAATACCATTTTTTATTTTAGCCCTTCATATTCGATATACAGTGTGTCGAAGTTTGAAATTAGAAACTGATTTTTTCTAATTACTCGCGTATTTAATAAGATATCAATCTCAAAATTGGTACATTACTTCAGCAAAAAGAGTTACATTGTGTGAGGAAAACAGAACAGAAAATAACTGTCAAATATTCAAAATACTGGGGGTCAAGTATACACTTACCCCCATATTTTTTTTGTACGTGCGCTAATGACTTACTATCTATTTTTCTTCAAGTGTTCAATCATTTTTGAGTATTGTGTCTTGTAAAAATTCGATAAAATTATTTGTTTTTAAGATAATTCGAAAAGTACTGGTTATTGTTTGATGCCTATGCGGCGTATGGTAATCTTATAATGTACACAATACATACTCCTATTTATTTCGTCGAAATTGGAAGAGGTCGTATTCTTTTACGTCCGAAAAGGTAAATATGGAAATACCGGATGCTCAGAGCAAATGTATTATAAAATTATTTTTACAAAAAAAAATGAAAAAAAAGTGAGGACACGTGTCGAATAAAATTTGTTTGCCAATCGAACGGCGTGAAATATTTTTTTACGGAGTCAAATAAAAAAAAAGTTTTTTGAAATTGACGAGCCATCTTCTTTCGAGAACAGCAAATTTTTTTAAAAATCGGTTTGAGCGGTCTTGGGTGGTGCGGAATTTTTTAAAAATATTTTCGAGCCTCTTCCCCACCGTATGGTATGTCGGGCGCGAACGAACGGGAAATAAAATCGGAAAAAATTGAAAAAAATATATTTTCGGACATTTTTGGTGAAATCATGATATTCATGATTTTGATAGCTACTTGATGAAAGAAATAGCAGATCAGGATTGTCTATGGATGTATAGAAGATTTTGTGCGTAAGCCACATATTTTTCAAAGGCTAAGATTATCTTTGATTAAAAGGGCTCGCATGTGTACTCAAAAAATTCATATCGAGCAATTCATTTTTACGTGCTGAATTTGTGTAATGTAATTTTTTTTCGTAAAAATTATTTTAACACATTCGCTCTGAACAGCCGATATTTCCATATTTACCTTTTCGTACGTAAAAAGTGACGCCCTCTTCCAATTTCGACGAAGTAAATAGGAGTATGTGAACATTATGAGATTACCGTAAGCCGCATAAGCATAAAAAAATAACCAGTACTTTTCGAATTATCTAAAAAACAAATAATTTTATCGAAATTTTACAAGTAACAAAAAATACTCAACAATGATTGAGCACTTGAAAAAAATAAATAAATAGGAAGTCATTTGCGAACGTACAGAAAAAATATGGGTACTTTGAATATTTGACAGTTTTTTGTTTTGTTTTCCTCGCACGATGTAACTCTTTGTGCTGATGTAATGTACCAATTTTGAGATTGATATCTTATTAAATACGCGAATAATTAGAAAAAATCAGTTTATAATTTCCAACTTTGACACCCTGTATATCGAATATGAAGAGCTAAAATGAAAAATGATATTTAGAAATTCATATTGTTTTTGTTCAAGGAATATATGGTTAATGGATTGACCTCCTTTTAGCGGACACCCTGTATAATACAGGGTGTCCCATTCAAAAATCAAGAGTTGGGGTTGTTTCCAGTGAAACCGGAAATGATAGAGCAAAACTCGTTTCGGCAATCAATGAGCAATTCAGTATACTATATGCCCACCAATTTTCAAAACCCTATCTTGAATGATTCAAAAGTAACAGTCCTTGCAGTTTTTTGTCTACCAAATTTCAGAAAAATCCGTTCACGAATGCAGAAGTTGGCCCGATACCCTGTGTCACCCGCTATATGACGAATGGATATTTTCGATTTCCATGTTATATTTTCAGTTTCCTCGTGTTTATCAATGAAGAAAATAAAAACATTGGAGCTGTTTATCTTTGTTTATATTCCTGAACAAAATCATTTCATTGATATCTACCCACGGATCTGGTTCGAGAAACGATATATGCCAGATATTACGCACCTGAACAATTAAAAGTTGATAAACAAACATACGTTCCGAAACTGACCTACAATTTTGGGAAACGACTGTTTGAAAACTGTGAATCTTCTTCCGAAGACCTGTAGTTTCAAACATCAAAAGTTGTCAACATTGAATTTGAAAAGCAAGATCATTCCTGAATTTCTAAACAACCATTTGCAATAACAAAAGACTCCACTCAATCTAATATATTTTTTTAGAGGACGTGAAGCTTCATCTCATTATCCGTGAATTAGGGTATGGTGAAAACCGCAATACTCAGAGCTGGACTGAATGAATTTGTATTTTTTCTTCAACTTTCCTGGTTACGAAGAGTTTTATGTCGTTACCTCTTGAAGTGGTTCTCGATTTCTTTTAAAAATGCCGATTTTTTGCCACCTTGTCCTTGACTACTATTATTTCCCAACATATTTATTATTTCTGGAGAGTATTCTTGCAAACATGTCTTTATGTCACCATCACCTCTGTTGACACAAAAAAACTAGGAAATGTCCTTGAAAAATACAACTTCAAGATAATTTCTGCTGAACCCCTGCAAAGCTCAACTCATTTCATACACGTCTGAAATAATCAATTGTATTTGAGAAGAAAGTCAACTTCATAAGCCAAAATTAGATAAAAGTTCCATGATAACCACTCATCAACTTTCCTCCTCATGTTCTCCTGAGAAAATATACAGTGTGGAGAATTTAAGTGGAATAAACTGTCTAACGATGAGGTGACAATAATTTTTTTTTAAATTACCAACAAACATCAACAATTTGATATATTTATCGATACGTTTTCAAGCAATTTCAAGAATATACCCCTTGAGGGAAAGCTGAATGCACCCTCAACATGTTTCTTTCAAATGCAATCCCATGGCTTGAATCCAGCGAACTGGTAAAATTTTATTTATTGCAAAATTTAGTCCGAACAATAGCTTTTATTCACGACTAATATATTATACTTGTGGTTTTTGAAGTATAATGCCATATATTAATCCCGCAGGGAATAAAGACTATTAATCCCTCGCCATTATTCCCTGCGGGATTAATATATGGCATTATACTTCAAAAACCACAAGTATATATATTAGTCGCAAATAAAGTAGAGTATACTACTCGCAATAATGGCTATTATTCTCTCGGAATGTTACTCCCTCGCCGCTAACGCGGCTCGGTTCGTAAAAAATCCTCGAGAATAATAGCTATCATTATTGACTCGTGGTATAATCTACTATTAATTTTTTTTGTAAGCCTAAAGGTTGCATTAAATGAGTGTAATTTTAGAATTCAATTTATTTTCAACGTGACAATTGCTCAAAATTATTAATATTTGCTATTGGATGCCAGTATTTTTATAGAGCCGCAAAAAATAATAGTTTGTTCGAAACGAAGTGCTGCTATTGCGAACTGGTGAAAGAGTGTTGCTGGTAGAAATACCGAGCATAGATATGGTGGATGGTGGTGCCAGACATTACAATATCGGGCATACTGAGTTCCGCCTTTCTAGAGAAAATACAGGCTTGAGTTTTGGTGGCGTTGAATTTAACTAGGTTGTTGGTTCCCCAGGCTGTGATTTCAGCAAGGTCTTCATTGACAGCATTGACCTGCCTGCGCCGTGAGTTCTTAGTTTCCTGGAAAGAAATGGAAATTCTGGGAGAGAACGCAGTACGGAGGGTACTATCATCTGCAAAGCTGTGGATGGGGCAAGTTGTTACTCCCAACAGATCATTGATATGAAGAAGGAATAATGTTGGTGCCAAAATTGATCCTTGTGGAACGCCGGAATTGATGCCAATTGTATCAGAAGATACACCGTCCACCACCACATGGAGCGATCTGCCTGAAAGAAAACTCGATAAGAGATGGCATAGCTGAGGTGGTAAACCGTATGATGGTAGTTTGTGGAGGAGTCCTTCGTGCCAAACACGGTCAATGCTTTCGATATGTCCAACGCGACAGCTAGAGATTCCCTGTGTTTTTCTAATAAAGCTTGCTATAAATGGGTTACGTAGGCAAGTAGATCTCCAGTAGATCTTCGGTGGCGAAAGCCGTATTGTCTATCATTGATGATTCCCGATCTCTCCAGATATTTGATAAGCTCAATATTGATGCCTTTCTCCATCACTTTGGAGATTACTGATAACAGGGCAATCGGCCTGTAGTTGTTGGG